AACTATCAATATTGTCGATAAACATATTTCAATTATACTTTGACTAGTACTCTTAACTGTTATAGTGTTTAAAGATGATGGCACAAAATAAAACTTTATATATCCAACAAGGATACAATGACACATTGCTCATCACAATTATCAACAAGTCTAGATCTCAGCACACATCCAAACAATTGTCACGGGCGAGAGGATGAACTTGTCTTTTATTACAACTCTAAACAAGTTTGGATCTCAACAAGGATACAATCATGACACCTGACTCATCACAATTGTGAGCAAGTATGAATCTCAGCACACTTCCACATCTCGGGCCAGAGAATCGGCGTTACTATCATTACACTTCTAAAGAAGTCAGAATCTCATCAAACATCCAAACAACCGTCTCGGGCAAGAGGATGGGTATGTCTGTCCAACTTAGGAATATTAACCTAAAGAAATAAAATATCCAATAAGTTCACAATGATGACACATTTCCATCACAATTATACACAAGTATGGATCTCAACACACTTCCACATCTCGGGCGAGAGGATGTGCGGGCCTATCATTACACTTCTAAACAACTACGGATCTCATCAGACATCCAAACAACTGTCTCGAACTACAAGATGGACATGCCTGTGCTGCGTAGGAAGAAATATAACCAACAAGCCTTATGATAGAATTATGACACCTGACTCATCACAATTATAAACAAGTATGGATCTCAACACACTTCCGCATCTCAGGCGAGTAGATGAGCGTGTTACAATTACACTTCTAAATAAGTCCGGATCTCATCAAACATCCAAAAAATTATATCGAGGGAGAGGATTGGCAGACCTACGTTGCTTAAGCTGCAACCAAAAGTGAATTTGTTAGAAAAAGGACACAATATAATGTCCTATTTTAACGAATAACATGTTACGTCATATGTCTTGTCAGTCCGCCCAATAGGTGAGCAAGTATAATATTTGAAAATGACTGTTCGGACGAGAATTTGAAAGGGAACACATTCTTTTTTAACTTAGTGAATTGCGACGATTCTAAAGGAACGACAGGGTGGCGGATTTTGTCCGCGGTTTAGGGTTGATTTCTGGAATATGGTTGGTTAAGCAATTTTTGAAGTTAACTTAATCGTGGAGGATATTTTTCGACTTTTCAACAATTTATTTTTGTTTGTGTTTACATGTCACGTCTTATGTAGGGAGTGCAACATGAGTAAGGAACGATTGACATGATTATTCGTATCCCATTCGCCCTTGCAAATGTGGATTGCGTGGTGCGGGCGACGATACATAAATTATCGGGCCCATGACAACAAAGTTTAAAAACGACCCATGGATGAGTGTCGTCCCCTTCTTGGACAAACCTCTTCATGCCTGGTCTGAGACAGAAGAGCAATTCTAGAAAGGAAATGTCCATGGCATATGGAGTACAAGTTTGCTTCCAAGATGGACTGAGGGAGCCTAATTAAAGTACCTCATTATGCCATCGACATCCGACAACTTCCGTCCCTGGGTGCCGCACTCAGAGAGCAAGAGAATAAACGGTTTTACCTTCGCTTAGAGAACGTCACGAGATCACCTTGCGTGTGGTCTGTGGACTTGAAACAAGAGTTGTTGGACTGTGCGTCCTACAATCCGTTTTTGGAAATATATCCACTGCGTATTGCTGGAACACGACCACAAGATGTGTCATACTGTTGCGTATGGTTGTCTTTGGCTGGTTCTGACCTCTGCAGAGTGTTGTGTGTTGCATGTTCGAACCGAAAGCGAACTTTGGTAGACGTTGTAGTGCTTGTTTCTTGCAACGAGCTTAGAATCAATGGTCGCAATATGGGCAATCTGCGTCTTCTCTACGAGATCTCTACGAGAACGGACAGTCCGATTTGGAGATTGTCGGTCAAATTCATGAGGCTGACAAGTGGCATGAGGTAGAGCAAGTGGCATGTTGCATGTGTGACGCCATCGGTAAGTCCTTGGCAGGTGTTGGTAGGTTTGTAAGGATGAAATACATTTCGTTGTTTTCGAACGTGGCGACGAAGGGACAACCACAAATTGTCAATGAATGCCTTATAGGGGTTTGGTTCTCATGGGACGTGGGGACGCTTGTAGATATTTTTGTAAATGATAGCGTTTTTGAAAGTTTATATTACGGCGGCTCCTAGCATTTAATTTAGATTTAGTTCAATTTTGATTTGGCTAGTAGCATTTAATTTAGACGTAGTTCGATCTTGCGTTTACAATTTCTCGCACGTGTGCACACAATTTTCAACTTTAAATAAAGTTCATGCGATACTTTCATATTATTTTCACAATCCGAACCTCGTTCTGTGATTCTCTCAATTTATTAAATATTTTTTTTTTCATGATTACGATATTTCTCGAAGTGCGACGGAATCCATAGTATTCACTTGACTTTCAGGTTATGACAATGGCATGTTAGTTACGTCTTGTAAGATACATAATTTGTCGAAGTGCGACGAAATCCATACTTAAACCATCTCGTTTACTGTGTGATTGCATTGACTCTTCGATTCACTTCCAATTTCTGCCAGTCACAATGCCATGTAAAATACATCCGACTCAATGCTCAATGATATACTAAATTAATCGAAGTGTAATATGATGCAGAGGTCATTCACAACCTTCTCGTTCAATGTCTCATTGGGTTCACCGTTCTCTTGAATTTCAATGTATGACAATGACGTGCGACTTACATCTTTTAAGTCACATAAGTTATCGAAGTGCGACGGAACCCATACTCAAACCATATCGTTTACCGTGTGATTTAATTGACTATTCGATTCACTTCAAATTTCTGCAAGTCACAACGCTATGAGTGTTCTCATTCCAATTACCGGACTCGAAAGAGCCCAGTATTGTTATTTATTGTCATTACCTCCCCATATCAGGACTGGGTAATTTACGCGCCTGCTGCCTTCCTTGGATGTGGTAGCCATCTCTTAGGCTCCCTCTCTAGAATCGAACCCTAATTCTTCATCAACCGTTACCACCATGGTAGGCCTCTATCCTACCATCGAAAGTTGATAGGGCAGAAATTTGAAAGGAACATCACCGGCTCAAAGGCCATGCGATTCGACAAGTCACCATGATTCGCCGCACTAACGAGCAAACCCGGATCGACCTTTTATCCAATAAATACATCCCTTCCAAAAGTCGGGATATGGTGCATGTATTAGCTTTAGAATTACCACGGTTATCTGAGTGGTAAGGAGACCACCAAATAAATGATAACTGATTTAATGAACCATTCGCAGTTTTTTTTTTCCTCCCTTTTTTTTTTCCCCCCCATCTATTCTAGGGGGCGGCAGTCCCGTTTCTAATCACCGGTAAGCAGAAGGAGAAGAGTAATCGAAGGAAGCAGCAGAGGGAAGTGGGTATCCACCCAAGCAAAGTCGTCCTGGAAGGCTACGTCAACCCAGAGGAAAAGTCGAACTCACACCCCTCTCAACTCTCTGTCCTTGCCAAAGCACCTTCGTCGGAAGGCATATTTGCACCCAGTCATGACTGTACCTGCAAGGAAGATGGGCGTGCTAGGCATCCCTTCACACCTCACACCCCCAGAGGAAGTACCGAGTCGTATAGATTATGATATAAACCTATGCTATCGCGCATCTAATCCACATTACTACCCAACTCATCCACTAATTCACGATTATTACTGCAAATTGCACTCCCAAGCCTTACCTCCCACCCCCCTAGAAAGAACACCCCACTGCACAGAACCCAAACCACTCCATCCGCACTGCCACTATGACACCCATTTCCCAGCTTCCTAACTCCTAAAAATAACAAAGTCAACCCCCCTACTCTAAAGTGAGCAATCTAAACTTGAAAGTACGTTTCTAAGTATCTATTACACCCCCTTCTCCCCTAACCCCACATTCAATACAGTGCATCTAAGCTTACCATAGAAGAAGTGTGTCCTATTATGACATGGACAAAGCGGCATCCCATAAAAGTGCCCATTCACAATCCCCAATCTGATCCCCGACCCTTATTAGCATATGGTATGGTTTCCATGCTTTGGCGAAGAGCATCCAGCCACCAGTTTTCCTCCTTGCTGCATCGACAGTGATGGCCATCCTCAGGTTCCTCACCATCCAGACTCGCAAAGTGGAGAAAGACACAGGCACCCCCTCTTGCTGCAATCGGGCCCGCATGGCCCAAACCGCGGCCCAAAAAGCTGCACACACCGTCTCTGCTGCATATGCCTCATGCAACGTCGCCACACCCCCTGCAAGTGGCTGACCCACCAAGACTGATGAGCGTCTAGTACCTGCTGCGGACAAGGGGACCTCACTACCCAAAGAGTCCCACCATTCCCAGAACATCCTCTGTGGAGGGCAATCCAACCATATATGGGGGAGGGACTCCTCATCAAGCCCTACAAAACTTATTTTTGTGGGAACTCCGTTCCACCAGCCGTTGATAAGAAGGCTGCGCCAGCTGAAGGCACAACCACAGACCACCCGCCTACTTCTGGTCTGGCAAAAGCGCAAGTAACCTGCAAGCCTTCCCCCAAGTGGACGCATCCCAGGCTTGCAAGGCTACCTGGTTAAGCCAACCTCTTTTCCTCCATCTTTCTTTCATTTCAACGTCCATATCCGTTGGCACGAGCAAAGTCTTGTATATTACCTTCGTTTTTACTTGGTGCATTCAACAACTTTTCTTGAGGGAATTCGTAGCCAGCCATTCCCACACAGAAGGGTCCCAAGGAAGCTGCAGCGGTCTTAAAGACGATTTGTAGGGTTGAAAGCCTTTCCCCTTGCTCGTGGACTGATCCTTAAGCACCACCACCGATCTTATATTTTGCGCATGCACCCTGCCATCCTGTTCCGGACGACGAACAAGGGGTTCTCCCAGACCCCTCACCGACCCAACGTCTTCCCATGCCTCCGCCCCATACCACTCAGACCCCACCTTGTCCTTTAAGCGGAAACAAAGGATTGGGCGCTCCTGTTCTTCCAAAACTACCCACTCCCAACTTACCCATCCTTAGCAGCAAGGCACTCAAGCCAGTCTTGCGGGATTGTCTGCTTAATTACCTCAAGCCTCTCATTCTTCCTCGACTGATGATCCAACTGTCGCAACACCAGTTCCTCCACCTTCCACGTTCCCGCCTGCACATCCGAGATATCAGCAATCTGATAGACCCCATGCACCAACCACTAACTCCCAAAGGCCCCTGGATGATTGCCATGGAAGAGCATTCCCCATGTGTGTTATAAAACGATTTCCAAACAATGTCTGTTGAAGAATTTGCTCACATGTTCGTGGCCTAACCTGGCGCAGAGGGGTCACCCGCCATTTCTCTAAAACATGAGTCCATAACGCGCCACGATGCAGGCCATGTAGGAGTTGAGATGCAAAAGAGTCACCTCAACATTCGTTAGGTGGACGTTGATGGCATCCGCCATTTTCTGCAAGGTGGCTACCTTCCAAGGTTCCTCATCATTCTCCAAAAGTAACCATGGTTCACATTTGCAATGCAATCACTTGGAGGTGGGGGTCCAACAGTCCCAGTCCCCCAACCGACCTAGGCTGTACCAGTTTTTCCCACCGTACCCTATAGATGAGATGTGGAACACAGGGGTCATCCTTCCACAATAATTTCCTGAGTGCTCTATTGTAGTTCCTCCAGGCCTTTTTAGATGGATCAGAAACTGCACCCGCATACCACAGAATCGATGATACTGCATCATTTGCAATGAGGACTTTCCCAAACACAACATGTGTTGCACGTTTCGCCCATGCTACCATTTGCGTCACTGCCGGGTGGAGAAGATCCTCCAACTGCTGACCCGTTGACAGAGCCGCCGGTAACAACACCCCTAGGTACATGAATTGTTCCTCCGGCGCCTGAGTTCTCATAACTTGAAAGATCCCTATGTGAGTAGTGTTAGAAGGGACAGCGACAGACTTCCCCCAGTTAATCCTTGCACTGGCAAATTTGTCAAAAAGAGAGATTTCGCTACGAAGAGCAGAGAAACTCTGATACGTGGCCTGAGATACCGTTGTAGTATCATCAGCAAATGCATTGGACTTAACATAACTGGCCCCAGGCAACTCGGAACCCTGAGTCAAGCCATTAGCCCGAATCATTTCATGTAAGTACTCCACATACAATATGTACAAGGCCGGAGAAAGCGGACAACCCTGCCAAACAGATCGAGTAATTTTCGAAGGTGCAAAGAAAAAGTCATTGATCTGAATTCTAGCCACAGACATCTCCAACACAGTTCTAACCGCTTGCTCAAAAACATCCCCCAACCCCCTACACCTCATCCCTTGAAGAAGAAAGGGTCACCTGATCCTATCATAGGCCTTTTCAAAATCCAAAAAAAGTGTGACCAACGGAGGCTGGGAAGTTTGCGCTTTTTCCATGATCTGGCGAACAAGAAGGACATTCACCAGAATCTGCCTCTGGGGAACAAAGCTCGTCTGCATGGAATGAATGAGCCCAGACAATGCACCACTAATCCTGTTAGCCAGTACCTTTGCATACAGTTTATAAGGCGCAGACAACAGGGAGATAGGCCTCCAGTTTTGGACATCCTCAACACTCCCTTTCTTGTACAGGAGGATAATGGTTGCTTGCCCAAACGAGGGTGGAGGATCCTCTTCCTTTGTAAACAGGCGATTAAAAGCCTCACACGGCAATGGGAGGAGACTCTGTGCTGCCACCATCAAATATTCCACCGGCAGCCCATCAGGGCCCGGTGCCTTACCCTTGTGCATCCCTGCCAAGGCACTTGCTACTTCTTCTTGGGTTATGGGAGCATTCAAGGCAGCCCTTTGTCCCGGAGACAAAAGAGTGGAGCATTTAGACCATATATCATCCATTGGGAGAGCACTCATGCTCTCTTGTGACCAGGCCTCATCTTCACGGTATAAGTTTTCATAAAAAAGTTCAACATACTTAAGAATGTCAAAGGTATTGTCCACCTTTGGCTGAAGGGGGTCGAAGGGGTGTTCCATGGACAAGATAAGGGGTGAGTGGCATCCCTTCTTTAGCTGAGCGAATAAAACCTTTGACATTCGTTCAATGTCCCTAATCCACTTGGCCTTGGAGCTCAAACCCCACAGCTCCGCATCCCGAGTCTTCCAACTCGCCCATTCAGAGTGCAATAAGACTCATTCCGCCCACCAGTTGTCTTCTTGTCTTGGCGGTGGGTCCTCCCCCAACGCCTCCATCCGGAGAAGATACTCCTGACATGTCTGGTCATGTGCCTGCCTCGACACTTTTGCCCTATTCCTCATGATCGTAGCGAGTGTCTGAACCCCCAAATGGAGATGCTCAAGCAACGACCTCCGTTCAGGCCGCAATGGAAGCCAATGTTCTCAATATTGCATCACCAATTCTTTATTAAGTGCATCAGACAAACAACCAAACCGGGACCGCCATCGGTGGAGGCCTTTTTACAACCCGAGGATGTAAGGCTAGTGAAACAGTAATAAGCCTGTGATCTGAGGTCGCTACCAATTGACACCCAAAATCCTGCAGGTTAGCTGAAAGGTCAGAGGAAGCCCATACCATATCCAATCTACTTCGTAAGAGGGGGGATGTCCCAAACCAAGTAAAGCCCTTTTCATCCGGTCACCACCTTCGGAAAGCATCCACAAGAGTCATACCAACCATAAGGTCACATAATGCGTCAGCATCTGGTTTCGGATCCCCGGTATGACCGAGTCCCTCCTAGGGCGAATGACTATATTGAAGTCCCCAATCATGAGCATAGCATCCCTCAGCGGGATGCCAGCCGCAAAATCTCTCCAAAACCACTTTCGATCTGACACATCCACCGGAGCATAAACAGTAACTAGCAAAACATTTTTCCCCCCATCTTCTATATACACCCAAGCCCATCGTCCTAACGAGTCCCAAAAGAAATCTAGGACTTTCCTCGTGAAGAAGCGAGTCAAAATAATAGCCACGCCCCTTTTGGTTCCCACAGCGTGAACCCACAATTGAAAAGAACCCCCAAACCTGAAATCCAGGAGACACATCCTATGTCCCCGCAATCTTGATTCAGAGATTTTGGTCTCTTGTAGACACATCACCGACAACTTAGCTCTATCCACTATCCGCCTCATCTCCCTGACCTTAGCCCTCAGCAACCGCAAGCCCAACCCCCGAACATTCATGGACCCAACTTTAAACATAGAAGAAACAACCTAATTCTGATGACAGAGGTTTCTTGCGATCCTAATGGTACATCCAAAACAGACTTAGAGAATTACCCACTGGAGCGACTATTTCCCCGAGGTTGCTCCATGGAGCATCCGTTTCCCGGAGATCGCTTTGAACGCGACACCCGCATTGTAACCCTGGATCTCCTTCTTGGAACCACCGGAGCACTTTGCCTGTTCGACTGTGAAGAGGATCCGGGAGCTGCTCCCCCAGGTGGTTGAACCCTTCGTCTCACACCATACAAAACACTCATTGGTGGTCAGCCAGAACCTTGTGCTAGAAAATCGTTTGGCAGTCGGCATACGCCTATCCAAGTCTCTGAGAATTTGGAGGGGGGCCGACCAAGTTGTGACCACAGCATGCTGCACAGTCTCCCCGTACTCAAGGACATGCGTCAAATCATGCCAACGAAAATATGGGGCAATCGAGACTGCTCCCTACGCCTGTCCACTCTCAACCCGCAGAAAGAAGCAGTACAGACCAACAGAGGGGCCGGAATCACCAGGCATGAGCAACCATATGGCTGAAATGCCCGGAACCAAAGCCACCTCAACACTAGTCCCCAACGGTTCTTGTGTTGTCATCAGAGCTCGTTGTTGGGATGGCATTACAGACAAAGCAATTAATGGCAATCGCGCATTATCCACTCCTGGCATCGCCGACACTGTGACGATCTGTAAGCACGACGATCCTTCCTTAAACAACAAAGGAAGGAGGTAAAGCCACCCTTCTGTTAACATCTCCTCCAACTTCATCTAGCAATTTCATATGAAGCCTTGCGTTAAAAGGGTCCGCTTCCCTGGGGTCAGAATTCCTGGCACGCGTTCGTGCTTCCGGTTCCTCCTCCTCACCTTCCTCTTCCGCCCTACGTGCTGGATCCGGCTAAGACAAACGCACCCGCCCCACCGGGAGGTCTGGAGGAGAAGGGGGTTCCAGAGGCAAAGATCTCAAAGGCGCCCTAACCTCTTGGCATGATGCTGACTGCACAGGTACAACATGAGATCCCTCTTCATCATTGACCACAATAACCTGCTTAGGTACCACTTGAGGTCTTTTCTCTCAGGCTGATATGCAACCACCTCGTTCCTCCTCCGGCCCCAGGATCGCCAAAATTCCTCGTTGAGTAGCACATCTCAGTTTCCTGGGCGGCTCATCCTCCTCGGAGCTAGTAGATTTTTGCACCAACAGCTGCTTCCCTTTATTTGTCCGCCTTACATCCCCCAATTTCCTCTCCCTCGTTGCTTTCTTCCGAGAGCGCGACCGTTTCCGACTCGAGGGCCCCTCGCCAAGCTCCTCCAGCAATCTCGTCCCCGTGGGAGGCCCACAGCCCCCTCGAGCACCATCAACCATGCCATCCATAGTGCAATCTTCATTGACCTTCAAGGGAGGCAGAGAGAAGTCATTAGGCCTATTCAACTTCAACTCAACCCATTGAGACATGAGGTTTCACACAACACTCGGACCAGAACAAGAGTGTGGTTCCGCCTCATCCAACAACCATCCCCCGGTAGCACCCCGAAATGTGAGCGCATGCCGACCTTCCAAATTAACATGATGGGATATAGAGAACGATGTCTTGCTCTCGATAACTGAAAGATGCGAGTGGCGTGATGGACCGATTGGTGCTAGAAATTGGGCCCCCATAGGCAGCAAGGTAGCCCCCACAGCGGGCACCGTTGGAAGAGAAGTAATAACCAGGCAAGTGGCAGATGGCTGGACCAACTGCGTGGGCAAAAAGGGAGGAATAGACTGCCCAACTGTCTGAGATCGCCGCTCCCTTTCATCAATTCCCAAGGATCGATCCCCAACCGGCTGATTTTGACCGATGTCTCGATTGCCACCATCCTCCCGAGGATGATTTACTCCATTCCTCATGCTGCGGGAAAAAGCCCGAGGCTCACAATCCATTTCCACCACTGGTGGTACTAT